CTTCCGACTTCTGATTTCTTTTTAAAAAATGCGTTTTTAAAGTGCATAAACTTTTGGGATTGACTGTATAGCCAATACATCCTTAATTAACAACAGGTTGTTTAATCTCTCGCCGGCGACGAAAAATATTTCGCAACCTTCTTCTATTTTCTTTTTCCCTCGCCGCGTTTCGTTCCACTCCGACTCCTTTGTTTGAGAAAGATTTTTAATTCCCGAAACTCCTGCCCGGTTTAATGATAACCGACCGCGGCCGTGTAAAACTGCGAGGACGGATGCGCCTCGCCCGGACGGCGGTTCGCAATTTCGTCGGGAAATTATCGCGAATGTGTCGCGCGGTTCCTCCGGGCCAACTAACGTATAAGAACCGTTACCGTGATGCAGTTTCGCGACCAAGCAATTCGTATCAACTTGGAGAACTTCTCGCCTGTTCGGACGGAGCCAAGTCCTCGAATATTCCCGGCGTCTTTGTTCCAGCGGCGCATGATGGATCCGGGACCGGGCGAAAATGAGAATATCACGCGAGCTGGATTTTCCGTCGTGGGGAAAAACCGATTTAAAAATATACAGTAAATTTTTCGAACGACCGGAAGGAAAATGCTATTTTCCGCGGACGAATAACTCCGGGTGAGCGCGAGGTCTCCAAGAGATACGAAGAACACACCGATGAGAAATATTGACTTTAATATTTATCGAGCCCGAAATTCAACCGCATTATCTAAAACGCGTCCGCGAAACGTTTCTCTCGGTGAATTCATAAAATCCGCGGATGGTTCCAATTATAATAATTCAAATATGCATTTTCCGCGGGGAACGGTGGCACCTAAACTTTTGTAAAGAGCCGAGACTCGGCGAAGTACCGCGGCGGAATAAGTGAAAAAGCTTGTAGGAAGAAACACTTCGCCTCGTGGCTCGTACAGATCGAAATTTAACACTTCGTGAAATAACGAAAAACCGGTTTGAAACGGTTCACTGATTCTCGCGTCGCGGTAATGTAATCCGAAAATGCACTTGCTCGATTTTCACGCTGGCAACAAAATTGTTAATGCAGTATACACACGTTCGGAGAGACAACGTTATCACGTGAATTCCAGAAGAATCCTAGCTGACCGTCAGTTTAATTCTAAGCGTGGACCTGAAGAAACAAATACCGACAGAATTTTCCTACAATAATTTGCGGGACAAATGAAACCGGTTGGTTGGACCGGTCCGCCGTAACAAGGGAAAATTGGAGGGTAAAAAAAATCGAAGGGGCACACAGAATTCGATGCAATTCGCGAGGGGATGATTTCCGTGGCGCGGAACGATCGGCGTTCCCTTGTTCAATCCGGGGAAACGATTTTAAAATCCCGGGGATACCGTTCGACTGGCTGAGCCCCTTACACGCACGAGTTGCCTGAGCTGCAATCAATAAGAAGTCGAGATTGCTTCAACGATTGCCCCCCGGGCTGGATGGAAAGCAAAAGCTTCCACGAGCTTCCTGCGACGAGAGGAGGAGCAGGAGGAGGAGGAGGCCGGCGATCGCCGCTCGCGGAAGAACAATTTGCATTTGTCATCGGCGGGGATACAACTTCTCTTTTAACGCGCACAATCGAATGTATGTATTAGTAATGGCTGGTACAATTAAATTCGATCGACTGACGCGAGAGCTAGGAACTTTGAAAACCATGTAAATCCGTAATGCTCGTACATTATTCTATTCACGACCAGTTACACAGGTTGGCTTTCAATGTTTCAAATCACGATTCAAAGTTTCGAGGTGTTTTATGCATATCGACGTACATTAAAAACGAACAGCACTATAAAGAATGAATTTACTAATTGCCGTGGATACAAATATTCAACGAACAAGCATCCTTTCACTTGGCTCCCTCGCAGTTCAAATGTTGTTTTATCGTGAAAGAATTAATTTTCGGTTACAAAGGGGAGGCGCCCCCATGTCAAACAGTAGAAATCAATCCCTTTAAAGGATCCTCGGTAATTAACTGGGTACAAGGGCAGAGCAATCACGGGCATCGATGAAAGATATTTGATTAGGAGAGGATGATACCCATTACCCAAAACCCTTCATGGCTTCGATCCTCGCGCGCGCTCCAAAGACCGAGTGCGCAAACTTACAATTGTAAATTCCATTAGGGGTAGATTCGGTTTTAAGCCGGGATCCAACGCCTCGAAAGGCGCAGCGGTATTTTCCGTTCTCGGCGTGCGTCGACTTTTGATAATTTGTCAGAAACGGCCAACGATCGGTTTCCGTTTGGAACTACTCGGGTTAAAGCTCGGGAGAAGAGAGGTAGGAAAGTTAAACGCTCGCTCGCAAAGTTTCCCTCTGTCATCCACCCCTCCCTCCCTCTTAACCCCGTCGATATCTGCTCGGGCTCTCATAATCCCGCAGCGTTTTCATTTGCGGCTTTCCAGCTTCTACCCGAACAAGGAGGGACTCGCGAGAAACATTCTTATTAAGGCGGGATTATCCGACACCTCGGGCATACGACGGTTGAATCGTAATTCGTGTGCTCCTTGCCGTCGCGTACCGTCGGCAAACTAGCGAGTTAGAGACGACAACCACGCTCGTTTTATTCTGTACGTGTACGTACTCGGATCGTAGAAGTTGGATATTGGAAGGACGCGTTAATTAAATCAGTAGAATAAATCACGATTTCTTCGGAACGTGAAACAGCAACGCATCGCTCGAGATCGTTTGCAGTTGAAACCGCGTGTGTTTCTCAATTTCGCGACGCGACGAGAGAGAAGCCGGTTTTCACCGTCGGAACGGGTCAGGATGATCGCGATACAGTCGCGGGTCGTACGAGAGCCGGAGCCTCTCCGACGCACCAATTCCCATTTCGCCGTCATAAACTTGTTTTCCGCGTCCTCGTCGAGGGAAAACGTGGCCGACGCGCGCGCGCGCGCGCGTGTATACGTGTTATACGCGTCTCTCTCCGTTTCCAACACGTAGACGAACCCGTATTTCGAAGATCAAACAGACCTCCCACGGCGACAAAGGCCTGCTGTTCCCCTCGACTCGACTTTTCCTTTCTCTCTACCCTCGGGAAGTCGGATGCCCCCGACTTAACCCTCGGAATAAGATACCGCGGGGAAATGCGACCGTCCGCCCGAGATGGGTCTACGCGTTGATCTTCGGATTTATTTGAAAATTTTTACTTCTTCCCTAGCCGCGATTTTCGGATCGTCAATTTCCCTCAAATATTTCAATTCTCTCTTTGATACGTCAAACAAATTCTATTTTCTCTGCAACCGACAAAGTATTTAATAATACAAGTACATCGACAGATTTCGCAAGAAAGCTGCTTTTATTCCCGCGCGCGCACCGAGAATTTCCTCTACGCCGGGCGTAACGATGCGTTCACGTAACAACAAACTGAGCGTGCATTGTGCACCGGGGAAGAGAATATGTTTTTTCCAGCGTTACACGTGATACATTGTCAGAGAAAGAAAAGGGAGGGAGCTCGTTGCAACATCATGAAAGACGATAATAACGTTAGAGGAACAAAAAAAAAAAAAAAAAGAAAGAAAGAAGGGTAGAGAGGGCAAGAGAAACGGGTCGAGGGAGCGACGCGAGGCTGAAAAATTCTAATTCTCCGTTCTTGTTCCGCCCGGCTTACGTGTACCTCTAAAATACACAAGAAATATGTAACGGTCTCGCGTGCGCGAAAAAGGGAACTTAATGAATATAAGCAATTTAGAAGAGAGGCTGCCGCGTAATTACTATTTGACGGCGCGAGGGGGGAGAGGAAAGAGGATCCGTCTGATGTAACGGAACGTCAGAAATTGGTAAAACGGTTGTATCTGGGAAAAAGACGGGGAACGCGGAAGTGGTCGACGAGATAGTGATCGTCCGGATCGGCGGACGCAGCCTGGCGAGGGATCAAACGTAATCTATCTAAAGTGCGTTCATAAGTCTCGCAATTAGGAGGTCGTCGAAGGTTGCACGCGAGCAATTATTGGAGAAAATTGGATAATTCCTTTGAGGCAGTACGAGCGGGATTAGCTTCATGATAGTGACTAATGGCGATAAGCTTTAAATTAAACGTCTTTCCAGTAAATTAGCCACCTCCTCTTGTCGATATCCATTATCGACGGTTTAGTATCATCGCAAACTATGATTGACCTGTCGATCGACGTACGCACCTTTTCATCTCTTGTTTTCTCATTAACGTTTCGATTTTACAAATCGATTAGCGACATCGTTTTAAAGAATGATAACGACGAAAGAATTGTAATTGGAAATTGTAATTGACTCACCGGTAACTTTGACGTGGTAGGGCAGCTGCGCTCGCCAAGTGTCCTGCATTTTTCTGTCAGGTGCTACGCATCGATACTCGCCGGCCTCTTGGTAAACGACTCGACTGAGAGCCAGCGGCCCGGGTCCGCCGACTGGATCCATTCCAGGACCGTGTCCCCAGCAACCACCGTCGCACTCGAGGGTAACTGCACCCCCGATCTGAACTTCCATCTTCCGGGAATCGGTAGCTTCGCCGTTCAACACTTCCGCTTCCGTTTCCATATCTGGATCATCTGAATCGTGATTGAAACGGTGAACGTTGGCCGAGAAGAACCGGTGCATAAAAATTTATTTAGCATATTTATGAACAGTTTTATATAAGAGAACCAAATGCTATTCTCCTCCTATCATTCACCGAGTCTTCGAGTATTAAAAACAGAATCAACTNNNGTACGAGCGGGATTAGCTTCATGATAGTGACTAATGGCGATAAGCTTTAAATTAAACGTCTTTCCAGTAAATTAGCCACCTCCTCTTGTCGATATCCATTATCGACGGTTTAGTATCATCGCAAACTATGATTGACCTGTCGATCGACGTACGCACCTTTTCATCTCTTGTTTTCTCATTAACGTTTCGATTTTACAAATCGATTAGCGACATCGTTTTAAAGAATGATAACGACGAAAGAATTGTAATTGGAAATTGTAATTGACTCACCGGTAACTTTGACGTGGTAGGGCAGCTGCGCTCGCCAAGTGTCCTGCATTTTTCTGTCAGGTGCTACGCATCGATACTCGCCGGCCTCTTGGTAAACGACTCGACTGAGAGCCAGCGGCCCGGGTCCGCCGACTGGATCCATTCCAGGACCGTGTCCCCAGCAACCACCGTCGCACTCGAGGGTAACTGCACCCCCGATCTGAACTTCCATCTTCCGGGAATCGGTAGCTTCGCCGTTCAACACTTCCGCTTCCGTTTCCATATCTGGATCATCTGAATCGTGATTGAAACGGTGAACGTTGGCCGAGAAGAACCGGTGCATAAAAATTTATTTAGCATATTTATGAACAGTTTTATATAAGAGAACCAAATGCTATTCTCCTCCTATCATTCACCGAGTCTTCGAGTATTAAAAACAGAATCAACCACGTGCGAACAATATATAATAATTCAACAATTATAACTTCTCTTTGTAGAGAATCGAAGTCGAAACATGAACAATAATAATTATAATTCTAAACAGATTGCCTGATCATTCCCTACATTTTTCTGAAATTTACTTTAACACGTCTAATCGCGAAACCATAATTTTTTAACCAGAAACGATCAAGGAGAAAAACGATTCCATTTCCCGACTATCGGCCGGCATAAGAAAAACCGGGAATTTCAATTTCTCCGATGGCCTCGTGGTCGTATCACACACAACCATGTGCTCACGATTTCCGACGCACGCCGCGCGCATTCATATCCCGAGGTATCTTAAAGCGATCCAGAAATCCGATCGACCGTTGTCATCGGTATCAACGAGGTGGTCGCGCATCAGGAATCACACGCACGTACCGGGGATAAAGTCCGTGATGGAACCCGAGCGGGGGCGCACCCACGCGTGCCCGAGGAGAATCTTTTTCCTCCAAGACGAGAAGGACGTACGAGGTTCGACGCGCGGCTCTCCTTTTCCGATTCCACCTACGGAAAATTATACGGCCGCGACCGTTTGCTCTCGAGCTAACGCTGTGTCCACAATTACGAGACGGAGCGGAGGGGCCGGCCGAGTCGGCTGCGTCGTGGCCACGCCGCCGTCTCCTCGCCGAGAGAGGAGAATTAGAGCGACGATAGGGTGAAATTCGTTCGAGGGATGGAAAGAGGGCGACGAAAGGAAAGAAGGGAGAAGCAACGGAAACGAACGGTGGGAAACGTAGCTCGTTGAAGGGGATAGAGAGAAAGAGAGCAGTCCTTTGAGTTAGCAAGCTGATCCTCCGGCTCATCCCGTAACAAAACAAAGGGATCAAAGTGGTGGACGCGACGATAGGAGGCTTTTACACCATCCTCCTTCTCCTCCTCCACCTGTAAACCTGGTTCGCCCGGCGCGTCGCGCGCGCCGGGTATACCTCGTTTGTCTTGTAGTTTGTTCGGAATTTTACAGCAAACACGGTTGTGTCGCTATAACAAACAGCGGGCACGAGGACGCAGGGGACACGAAGGGCAGAACTTTTCACTTTTTCTTCGTTAGCCCGACTGTTTTCAGGGATCTTTCGCTCTTTTAATAGCGATTCTCGTTAGCTACGAATTTGATCTATCGTTCGAAATCCGGACTGACACGGGCTTTGATCCTCCAAGCGATTCTGTCGCTGTTCCGTCGTATCGATAGGTCAGTTATACGTCCGACTTGGACGAAAATATAAAAACAGAAGAGAACGCGTTCGTCGGTATTTCCAATCGGACGCTGTTCGAAGCTGGTCGCTTTTGTCTCCGAGTAATACTCGTCGAACTGATTCGGCGGCTCAATACTTCTCACAGTCAACGGTGTTTCTTTTTACTTTTCAATTGTTGAAAAAAAAGATACGATATCTACGAGTGGGCCGGAATTAGTGGCGCGTCGTTTAAAACCCGGTTAGACGTTATCCGCGTATAAGTAATCCGGTCAGGAGATTCGAACAGGAGGCTGCGGCGGTGTAATCGATAATTCCTTACGGGGTATGGTTGGTTTATAGGTGCTCTCGAGCCATCTAAATTGCGTAGAGATTAGGTGCTCGGAAACCCGTATCCAGGATCCCGTCGGTCGTCCGTGCAAACGGAAGCCGGGGCCGAAGAGGGATGGATCCGAGGGAGGAAGCTCCAACGTTCGAGGGGGAACGCGGCGTCCTTCTCGCCTCCCCGTTGCCCGCCCACGTTATAATGGCAAGATGGAAGGACCTAGGGGGCCAGGACGGGGTAGGAAATTTGCAAATTTTCATGACAGGGCACGGATAATTTCCGGTTGGCTCGGCGGTTTCCGCACTTGACAAATGACCGTGGTTTCCGGTTATCGGCTACGACTACGACGATCCTCGTTGCATTCCGAATTACCGAACGGAATGCGGCTCCTCCAAGGGGCAGACGATACTCTTTTCGATGTCTGCCCGAGATTAGTCGCTCTCTAAGTCCGCGTTATTTGTCACAGTTCACGTACCAACGAGACGATTCTCATCGTTTTGGGAATGATCAAAAGTAAATTAAACGGGAAAGAGTTCGTACGAAAAAAACGAGCTACAGAATCGTATCATTTTTTGAATAAGCGAAAGTGATCTCAAAGATACACCCGGAGAAAGTGTTTCGTTCCACAGGAAACGAAACTAAACGAGAAATAATGAATTATCATGGTCGCAGGAAGATGAGCGGAGGAAATGGATTTCCCGTCAAAATTTTCAAGCAAATTTGAAACGCGTTCAACCGGCCATTTAATGACATAAATCTTCATCGGTGACGCGAACATATCGCATTTCGAAGACTCGGTGGATCGTTCCGATGAACGAAACTGCAGCTACGATCGTTCTCATAATTCAAACACCTGTGCTGGAACACGTTCCGCGATTTCCATTAATTTCTAATACTATCCGTACCTTTCATTATCGACCACTCATTCCATTTGTTCCATTTTTAACCTTTTCATTGGTATTCGTAGCTGCTCAATAAATCCGCTCGTCGAAAATTAATGTTAGTACATACGGGGCTCATAAAAATGTTCAGACGTAAAACCAAATAACTTTTTTAATACATGAAACAACATAATTTCGCTGATCTATTTTGTACACTGCATGGAATTACATACAATGTATAAATAGGACTTTGTTGTTTAGTACGACTTTCGAGGAGCAGCTACGAAATCCCGAAACGAACAGCATAATCTCTTAAGCGTTTCGAAGGAGTTTGAATAATTTAATCTTCACCTCATTACCCATCCTCAAACATTTTCATCTGATATCGCTTATACTAATAATACGAAAGGACCTTGAAAATTGCATAGGCTGAAAAATACTTACAGCGTACATTGAGGAAATAGCCGATGCTGTTGAATATACCGAGCATGTGCCTGGTGTAACATTTATACCATCCGCTCTCGGCGCGGGTGATTTTTGTAAAGTTCAGCCATCCGTCGTCGTTCTGCTCGACGGGCGGTCCATTGTCTAAAACACAAACGTTCAGAGGCTGCAGTATAGTACAGGAATTAACTCGGTGGAAACATCACGTCACCCGAACCGAATCGCTGCGTCCGGGCAATTCCACGCGCGGTTCCTCTCACGGAATCTCGCCGGTACCAATCGACCCCCCGGGGCCCGAAGTCGCGATAAAAGTATTTAGAAGCTATGCACCGGTTCGATACGCGAAACGAGGGATTAGATCCTTAACGAACGAGAAACTTGGTCCAACTTTCATACTTGATACGCAAGATGCAGTTAATCCTGTGTGAAGTTGATACCGGGGGCGCGAGTTGCTCGCGTAATTTCAGCGCTTGCCGCGTAGATTGTTGTAGTAAATTGGGAATAGTCTAATTCGGTGCCTGTGACGCGGTGTTCTGAGGGACGGGTTGTTTCGCGATACAAACTTTCTAAGCAAATCTTGTGTTACACGTTAAAACGACGTGTGACGTCGCATCGCATGCAGGGATCTATGTTACGAAGAGCCAGAGTGCAAGCTTATACGTGCACAGCGTTGAATCTCTTATCACGCAACGAACCAATGCATTTATAATATTTTTAATTACTATAAACCAGGGCTTCTTAAACTTTTGTCATTCACGACCCCATTTATGATTGCGAGTTACCATTACAGTCGTCAAAATTTTGCTACGCGACCCCATTTGGGGTCGCGACCCATAGTTTAAGAAGCCCTGCTATAAAATAATTACATTTATTTCGTTGTATGCATCGGTTCGCCAGTTTCACGCTGGGCTCGTTTCCGTCACTTGTGCATAAACGGAGCTTTATTCCGGTAAACAACGAACTCGTGACGATGCCAGAACACGGTCGATCGTGTTAACGGGGTTCCATAGGCGGGGGGGACCAGCCCGGTCGGCAAGATGTCGTGCCATTTTGTATGAAATAAGAGTGTCCCGTGACTTGGCCCCAGAAGCGCGACATTTCCGGTGAGGGTATGCGGGATTCCGGCTATTTGGCCGGGGAACAAACGAACCGTGCTCGAAACTGAGCCCCTGGGAAAGGATAGAGTGGGTAACGTGTTATGTGCAGGGGTTCATGATTATTTCGTGCGGCATGGGGCGTGCTAATTTCTTGCGCGGGGCTTCCAACGAGCCACGGGGCTGGAATTAGTTTTATATTAACGAGCCGATCGACGATGCGGCATTCGAATTTATTCGGGTAGCTAAGGGTTCCTGCGAATTCGCACAGATACAAAATCAAACCGATTCTCTCTTTCTATTTTTACTTGTTGCAGCTATTTTTTATGTACGCGTGCGAAGTCGGTCTGGAAATCATCGAGTCACCCGTAGGTAACGATCCGGAGAGTTATCGGTAAACACGAAGATTAACGCGATCGCTGGAAGGTTGCTGCGAATAAAATACGAACGAGCTAAGTTTTAAGGGTCGATTTGCTTACCGAGTGGAAGCGATTAAGATTCTTAGCATCGTTCGAGGAAAAAAATTAGGATTTTTAATTCTGCCAGAGTAAAATGAAGCGGAAATAAGACCCGGACGGGAGGGAGTTAAGTGAAATAAAGCAGGAATAAGATTTTTCACGGCTCGAACGATCGCCGTTGAGTAATTCCGCTTTAAACTCGTCCTATAAAATAAGATATTTCCGTTTCTAGCTCAAACAGCCACGAGGGGGAGATTGCATTTTTCACGCGTTTCTAAAATAAAAAGTAACAGCTCTATCGTCGAAGGAAATGTTCACCGTTCACGCAGCGTTCGTTTCTCGACGCATATAATTGCTCTTTAAAAAATATCGAGCCACCCCCACTACTCGTCTCATCGTTAAACGTTTCGAAGGGGGCATATAAAACTACGAGCACGGATATCGGCGGAGCTGAAGGCAAGTTTGCCCGACCTCGCATAAAAATCAGATTCCTTCCTCCTCTTCCTCCCGGAGCACAGATACCGACGTCACTTTTTCAATGCGTATCAAAAACGTAACTTCTTCCCTCGCAAGAAGGATGCGAACATTTAGAATCTGTCAACGTGTTCCACGGAGAAATAACTGAGAAAAACCGAAATGGGGTTGCGTATAATAGACACACGTACACACACATTTCTATGTGTACACACGGGTATACGTATAAATACGTATATATTATAATATGTATATGTGTTTGACTCTGGCTGGCATCGCGTTATATGCTAGCTTCGTATGAACAATGATCGGATGGGGATCTACTTCCCCCGAAGCGGTTTCCCGCAGCTGACGCCCTCGTACGTTCTCCGGAACGTCCGTAGCTCGAATGTATCGTCGTGATAAATCGTTCGACGGGGCCATGATAAATTTATCCTTCCTTTTCATTTAAAATATCCTCGCCATTAACTGGCCCACTTTATACCGATCATTACAAATCGATCTTACGGCCGACAACGATTCAGCCATCGACAATATTTCTACGATTATTTTATTCACGAGACAAAGTCGATGGAATTTTCTCACAAAGTCAAGAGAAAATTAACACTGATTTTCGATCAATTATTTCCAGTTCGTCAACGTCCCTTAGCACCAGATTTATGACCGTCGAAAAGGGAGAAGCGACGGAGGAGGAGAAGCGCGGAGGAAGAAGAGCACAGAGGAAACTTTTGAACAACTATCAAAGAGCTATGTAGTCGAACCGATGGCGAGCGTCGTAATATTACACGGTACTCGCCGGGAGAGGAAAAAAAAAAGCTGCAGATACTCCAGTTCCGGGTCGTGATATATCGCGCGATGACGAATGGTCAAAATATCTGCCGCAGTTCTACGGGTGATAAAGGAGCTTTTAAAGAAAAGCGAACGTGCTCTCCCGATACCTTCGGGCGGCCGGGATCGGTGCCCGTTTAATAAGAGAGCGCACTCCCGCGTCCAAAAAGAAATTGGGATCGACGAAAGGAAAGGGGAGCGTGGGTGGGGCGAGTCGAAAACGCGCCGGGGCTAAAAGCGAAGCAGCAAGACGAGTCGAGGGGCAGGAAAGGACCTCGGTCGAAAGGAGACATCGCCCGGAGCGAGTACGTGCTCCAAAGGATATTAAAGTATTTTAATTGCAGCGGATTTCGCGGAACGTTGGAAGGATTTATTCGCAATCGCTCGATTGAACTATGAACAGAGACCAAAGGGGGAGGGGGGGGGGGGATTCTTTCCTCTTTCGACGGCTCGTCTCGTTGTCCCGCAAACCCGAACCGATACTGTGCGCTCGGTCGGAATTCTGGGCGTCAGAAATAATTGAATATTTAATGGGATGCATGTACGTCGGGACCGACTCATCGTCGTTACATCGCTGGGACAGGTGTGAACCGTTCTCCCGCCGCGAATGAGATTTCCCGGCTAATTTCTCGTCCTACGGTAATGCGACGAAGGGAGAATCGAACGCTGTTCAAACTCCGTGTGTGTTTTTACTAATCGAATGTACATACTTGATCCAATTGAATTTTATTACGAGGTGACTAAAGAATTAAAGAACGAGCACCGGCGACGGAACGGTACGGGTTTGTCCTCGCTCGCAATTTGTTACGGTTACGTGAATCTTTCCGTTTCGGATACCGTTGAACAATAATCCTCCGCGTGAACCAGTCGCCGGTAACGGGGTCGTTCATCATATTTCTTTATCACTCTCACCTAGCTGATCGCGGCGGAAAGTGACGGGTGCAGCTGTTCTCAGCATTTTGTGTAACTCAATAACGGAACTAACGAGGCTTGTACGATTAACTCGGCCCTTGATAAATTTCATCGCTCTTCTGCCTCGTGCAACCGAGCCACTTTTTCGTCCCCGCCGCTATCGGCAATGGAACATGAATCATTCCGAACACTTTCGATATCGTTCGGAAACGCTCCTCGAAAGCCTACAGATATTTTTCGACTCCTGAAAACTTTTTAACCTCTCCTACTACACGCGAAATTAATGATTAGATTACGAATTTAAACGACGAGTACCAGAGAAGCTGAAATAATTCGATGTTTAAACGAACGAACGTTCATCTTGAAAATTGATACGATAAACTTTGAAAACATCTTCGAAATGGCTGCCATAAACGTTTTATGGACAAAGATCCGCAGTCTATTAATTTGAAAGAGGTCTTTCAAACTGATACCATAAATCTTTTATTCCGTAGTCGACTAATCATCTAATTCGACCGAATCTTTTTCGGGAACCGACGGAATTAGTAGTAAAATTTTTAAACGCGCGGTGATAATTCGATCGAGCTAATTTTACGGTGGATATCTTCTGAAACAGATGTAACGCGCTCTTATCGAGTCCGTATAATCTCGAATATTGGCCATAAATTAGTTATTGATTTCGGCATACGCTACTGGTTCTTAATCATCGTTGCGCAACGCAATTGCACGGTACATCGGTGTTCTATTAAACCCGATAAAATTAAGCGTCGCTCCTTCCGAACAAAAGCTAGTAATAATAATTTATTACGAGGCAATTATTTATCGGCGTACTTAATCCCACAACATGCTAATAGGATTACAATTATTCAATTAATACGTTTCAACCGGGATTCTCCTACGCGAGACTTCTCGCCGTTCGAGCATCGTCGAAACGCGAGCATGAAACGTTGCCGGAGTATTTTTTCACCGATCGTCCGAAGCGTCCGAACATTTTCATTCCCGTTCTATTACTCGTACCGTACGAGGCTCGTAGCAAGATCGATCGGTCGTAACTCGAACGGATATGTCCGACGGTAGCCTGGAACGGTTCGATCGGCGAGTTCCGAAAAAAGTATGATTCCGTAAAAAGTTCGCAGAGCGTAGAGCGTTTAACGAACGTAATGGGTTCGCCGGTTTAAGTCGGCCACTCTAATCAAGAAAGTGGTCTCCCGTGGTCGCTAGATCCCACTTCTACCTCTGGGCCGCCGGTTTCCGTTCCTCTTCCTCTGTCCACGAGTACCGCTGATTGACGACGAATAAACGAAATTATACAGTAGCCAACTTTTATTGCCACCGGCGCAAAAGCAAAAAGCAGTATCATTACCGATCGCCGAGACTGTAAATCCTTTCCGTGATTTCCGACGGAGACGAAAGGCGCGGTGTAAAAAAGTCTGTTAATCGTTACGGATAAAAGGAACACGACGTATCGAATTTTCTAACCGCAACGGGAATCCAATTGGAGGATCAGAAAATTACGCGACGTACGATGCAAAATCGTCTGATAGAATTCTAACGGAAGAACACTTCCTTCAGATGATCGCAAAGGGAATTTAATTGGATACGGGTTTTACAATTAGACTTTGTCTTCCTCCAAGTCGGATTTTCAGCAATTCCCTAAACGTGGCTTCAAGGATTCTTAATTTCAATCTCTTAATTATATTAAAAGATCTGCTCAACGGGAAGTGCATGCATAATTAAAAAATGACATCCTAGACGAATACTTCATCATCGATTCTATATTTTTGATCTAGGAACCGAGTCGCAAATCATACAACCAAATCGTCGTCCCGACGAACGTGTGACGCTAGCTGGACGCGCCCGTTTTTCGTGCGTCGGACTCATAGTGAGAATGGATCGGCCTACGGTGTTTGTACCGTAACAACACTACGGCGTTGACTCGGGGCGAAAAGAACGGCCATTAAAACAAACGTTAATCCCCGCGGTGGTACGCGTAACGACTTGCTCGCGGTCATTAAGTGCAACTGCACACGTGCCTGTAGCTACACGCGTTTTCGTACGAGCGAAACGGGCGCACGGTCACGGCGGTACACGGCACCGAATCTCGGTTAACGTCGGCTCTTGGCCATGCCCGGAACAAGGAACATGGGAATCATCGCGTTCCATATGCGCGTTCCGTCGAGTTTGGATAATCTCCCGAATGATTCTGCACGGATTCGAAGAGCACGCCTTTCATATTTCAATTTACGAAGGATCATTGAATCTTTCCCAAGTGACAAAGTATACTTTGTCGATATATGAAAGGATTAGTTCTCGTGGCCGAGTTGAAATGTTGTTACATCGGCAAGCGAGTACAAAATTCTGAAGGGACTCGAAGACTCAGAGGGAATGAGAGATCACGTCTGGGCGTACTAAAGGGGAATTATAGGAGGCTTTAAATATTTATCGAGCTGTGGGCCAGTCTACCGTCGGCGGAGCTTTTGACAAAGAACAAGAGGCTGCTAATGAATCCGGCCAGAACGAATCTTTGCTCTCGGAATCCTTCGCGAGCCGAATAGAATTTAAGCGAACTTTTTTCGCTCGGCCCGATTTCCTTCAATGTCGAAAAAAGAGATTGATTTTTTTTTTTTCCCATCCTCTTCCAATTACTCGTTCATAACCGATCAAGCTTATCGAGGAATACAATGCGGTGTATCGCGGCGGCGAATTTCTTTTTCGTTCCTCTCCGGTCCGGCGGGCTTTCGATCGAAAAGTTCGTTTCCTGCGGAAGGGAGCCGAGGCACTTCGCCGTCGACCTATCGATTACGTCGGAGGGAAAAAAACGCGACGAACGAATTCTAGCGAAGCCGACGACGCTCGACGTTCGTACAAGGAGATTTCCAATTATCGAGAATAAGTCGCCGGAATGCTTGGAAAGCGAAATCTCAATGGAGTCCCATTGATCCTGACGAGAACAGGGGGGGAAGGGGAACGAGAGGGAAAGGGCCCCGAGGAAAGAAGCGACGGAGAAGCAGAAACGGATGCAGCCGTCGGCGCGGGAAACGTAGGCGGCAGAGAATTTTTAATCTTGACGAAGCATTCGCAACACGCGGGATCAGAGGGGAAAAGAGACGAAGAGGATGCGCGCGACCGGGCGAGGTTCGCGAAAGATAATATCTCGCCGCGCATACTTATCCCCGATAAAGGGCCGCGGGAGTATAACGGTCCGGGATTATTTATCGTCCCGACTCTACTTCGGCGCTCGCGATAAGTTTCCTCTGGCCGCTGCCGCGGTATAGACTGTGATTATACAATTTATCGTTCTGTTTGCTGATGACTGCGAGCAACCTAATAGCCCCTGCGTTCATGCAACTGCGAACGTTCCGCAGGGAACGCGAAATAAATATTTCGAATTAACAATTACGTCGACGAGCAACGAAAAATAATAATCACTGCAAATCCCCCCGCGCGCGATTACTGATTTTTCACGTTAATATTCATTAAAAAATTTAAAGTCCACTCGTTCTGCTTTACGGTTTTAATAATTATCATCGAACGAGGGATTCGGAACGGTGCATATATAACGAAACGTCGAATCTTTCGTCATTGTTGTCACTTACCCCTTTGCCACAACGGGGTGCTGGCCGGGTTGCTGTCCACCTCGCATTTCAAGCTGACGGACATCCCCTCGACGATCGGAATTCCAAAACCAGGTAAACGCGTTATCGCGAACGACGGAATATCTGAAACAGGTATTAAGCAATTGTCAGCCTCGGTAACGGTATCGATAGTGTCGATCGCGTTTCCACGAGGACAGCAAACTTCTGTACACAGTACATGTGCACTGGAATATAGAACGATGCCGATAAACCACAAAAACAAATGAAAATCTCGTACGTATCCAAGTTCAGATTTAGTAACCGTTGATATTTTCGACAGAGGATCTCGTATATGGAAATGAGAGACTCTGGGAGCAGTAAAGTTCTAAGCCATGGATTCCGCGTGAGAAAATGTTTCGGATCAGAGAATCTTCGGTTTCACGTAAGGTATTTACATATATTTATACAACGGCCGGCGCGGCTATTATTGTTTATTATTATTAAAGTGAATGGCGAAACTGGAACGGCGGACCGCTCGATAATGCCAGAGCTTAGTGGCTTAACACAAATTGCATAGTAATGAGGTATCGCGAAATTTCGCATTGGCTAGCCTGGGACGTGGGCTTAAGGAACAGGATTTGAAATGTGTCGCCCTATACAAGTAAATTCAACTTAGTTACCTTCGGTGCTTCACCGAGGAGAAAGTCGATTAAGAAGCGGATCGAGTAGCAAACGGGACGGGGAAAAATTGCCGGATCCAAGACGGTACACGGTTCTCCAATAACCGAAACGATCGTCGGACCGGCAAAGGGATTGTTCCGCCGCGAACATCAAACCTACTAATCGGTAAAACGGAATTACTACGGGTCTGACGAACGAGCCACCCTCTGGCCACCCGGGCCGGTGTCCCTGGCGCGGCACTAACGTTCCTTCCGCGTCATTAACGAGCAGCCTCGAAATAGGTGACAGAACCGGGCCGCATTCAGAACGTGGACACGCACGCGTCTATCTACATACACATATATATACAGGTACATATATCCTGGCTGTATATACGTACGCGTAACACATAGGGCGATCGCACGTACATACGTACGTACGTATGCGGAGGGCAGGTGATACGTGCAACGGAATCGAATGCGTTCGACGAACGAACAAGCAAACCAAAGCGAGCGATGCCGCGAGTAATTAACGAACAGCGCTAGGACAGCGAAGATTTTACGATTCCGCAGAGCACGCGCGCTCGTTAAAATCTGCTCCCTTTCCGTTTGCCTCTCTCTTTTTTTCCTCTCACCCGGTTGTTCTTCCCGTAACGGCGTCCGGATCGACGACGACGGACCTGAGGAGCTGCCGCGAAATCAAAGTTGCCCGTGGCACCGCGTCCGAGCATCGCACCGCGCGTTCGCTTCGTTAATATTTGAGCGACTTGAGGAAGGAAAGAAGCCATCGGGGTCGCGTGGAATAAATTGGCGATTCAGGAAGGGAAAGAAGGCGGGGGCGTCTACCTGGGCACGGAGGAGCCGATCGCGAGAGATAAATGGAGACGGATCGAACGAACGGAAGATTCGGTGGATGTGAAGAGCAGAGAGAGGGTTTGGAAAAAAAAAAAAAGAGGCGAGAGGCTTTTCCTCGCTCCGACTACTGGATGGCTCCAAGTTATTCACTCGGCCATAATAGTGCGGTGCCGAGACAATGCAAGCTTAATGAAAGCCACCCTCTTCCATCCCCCGTCCTCTTTTCACATCTCCCTTTGCCCTCTCTCTGTCCTTTCTCGATTCTCCTAGCTTCTCCTTCCGACCGGTTTCCAACCCCCCTGGCACCTCTCTCTCTGTTCCTATCTCGCCCTCTCTCCCTGTTCTCTCGGGGAGGTAACGTCGACGCCGCTGTGTAGCTCCGGCGCAGTGGCGTAAACACCAAACAAAGCAAACAATGAGACACAGAAGTGTCCCACAGACCTCGATCGCTTAATGAGAACTTTAAAGCACCTCCGCAAACTACCAGGTCCGTCTGTTTCAGACAGGATCAGCCAACTTACACAACGCCGCGTGTCTACATGCACGCGATCGTGCAGCCACGTTTTAAAAAGAACCCGGGCCAAAGGTTACGGTCAGCGAGGAATTCCGCAATTGCGATTACTAATTTAGTTTTACTCCGAAAAGGGGTCGAAATTAAGCTAGTATACATTTTTACTACATCGATGCGTGATAAGTTTCCTCGAAATTTCGTCCGGCAGTCCTAATTACACACGCTGCGACGCTCGCGTCGTTTTACGTGTTCCCTCGCGCGTCCTCTCGTTCGCTCGGTGCCCGATAAATCGTACGACTGGGACTCGTTCGACGCGAAATTCCTGCCCTATTTCCTCGCCCTACGTAATTCCCTTTACGTCGGTCATGAATTAGCGTAAGACGAAAACAACGACGATTTTTTTCCCCGAACGCGGCCATAGGAGGCCGGTAGGAAATTCGAAAGAGCGTCTAGGCAGGAATTTTTCCGTCGCCTCGCCGAAGCGCTCGTAAACCTTATACGAACCGTTGAGCAAACCTATATACCGGTCAGGGAGGGAAAAGAGGTCGAGAGCAAGTGCAACCTGCGTACAAATCTATGCGAAAAAGAACCGACGTACGAGTTCGACTGCAGCTGCGCCGGCCGCGTGTAATTTGTTTTGCGAGACAGTTGTTGCCAACGAGCATGGTTGGGTCAAAGGGAATTCTCCTGGCTGGGAATTTTAGAATCAAAATAGAAAGAGAGTAGAGATAACACATCGAAACGGATCGAGCGTGGCCGTCGGTGGTTCCGTTCTTCCCGGTGTTTTATGACGCGTCCATGAAACACGGCTGGTTCCGAGGAAAGGATTTAGAATCGTTTTGTAATCAGCGTATCCTCGGTAATTTAAAACCAGCTATTCCTCGGTGTTTGCTTTACGCTTCGCGGTTCCTTTTACAGAATTTATATATAGCAAAGATTCCAATTTCTCTTCACGGAATATTTTTCTATAATTTCAAAATTAGCACCTGTTTAAATACCGGAATTTGTCACGAGAGCAGGAGAATAAATTAAAAACCTTGGAATCAGTGAGTAGAAATTGGCACATTCAATATTAAAATTACTGACTCTAATAAAAGCTAAGATCGTGAAAAATAAAAAGTAAGACAAACGTGTTCTATGGAACGAATAAGTTCGCTGGTCGTGAATCGTTAAATGACCATCGACGCGGTAATAATACGACTTCACTTGCTAACGAAACAATAGGCGAGTGCAAATATTTGATCGGCACACGGTTCGCCACGGGGAGGGACGAGGTGGCCAGAAACCATGCGCCCGCAGTTTCAAACTATCGTTTTTACTCGTTTATTCGAGAAAAATCGTGACCCGCCTGTTAAACGATACTTTGATGATCGAACGCTTTGCCGACTGGTATGTCAGAGGGGCGCTATGCGAATTCGGCATGCGACAGTTCCCGATGCTATTCAATTTTCAGTTCCCTCTTTTTTATCACTATTTAACACAGCTCGGAATACTCGCGTCCAACCGATTAGTCAATTACTTCATCTTAACATCCGATAAAACATGGTCCAGATATTTAGATCGTCTTTTACTTTATTTATAACAACAATTCATGATCGTTGCTAATTTAAAAAAAAAAAAGAACAATTATTTTCTAAATTCTACTCTCCCAATCGGATCTCTCTTAAATTTGTAATTTTTAATAGAGATCGTCGTTTCGATCCGTGCAACATTCACCAACGTGGGCTAATTTCTGGCAGCTATTGTTTCACCGCTATCTATCGCGTTCTTCAACGGAATGTACCTCGAACAAGAAGACCGTAATTAAGTGGCACAGCGTATCCGTCGAGCGATCTAATAGGAGGAATGCGTTTTCATCGTTTCCCATGGGGAGAGGATCACGGCGACGGCACGCAATGACCGGCTCGTAACCAAGTTTAAGTTCTAGTTTATTGGATCACCGGACACCGATGCCCCGCGCCTAGGAGCTAAGCCTCTGAAACGTCGCTCGATCGTTACGGATGCTCGCCGTCCCGTGAATCGCCACTTTGTCCGACGCGGATGGAAATTTATTTCCAACGACTCCATTCCGAGCGGATATGCAAGGGCTCCCGGCTGCGGCGAATTAATAGAACGTACACGCGTGCCGGGTTGTTTCAAAGGCGTTTTACGACTGCTACGTGGCTATATGCATACACGGTTTACCCGAACAGTACGTGGAACGAATAGGAAAATGACGTACGGCTCGCGTGCGTTACTGATCGTAATTAAAATAAAACTTTCATCGATGTAAGCAACAATTTCAAATAAATAAATATTAAAATACAGATTTCACATTTTCCCTCTGTTGGTACATATTTTTTTTTATGCCACGACGGGGTCGTGATGAGAATACTCGGGGCGAGGATTCAATTCCGAGGAGATAAACAACTTGGGATAGCTAGTAAATTATAATCGTAAGTTCATGCAGTTTCTCGGTTTCAACTTGGTAGTTACACGCCGCGGTATTATCCGGGGAACCGCGGTAGTAGCCTCGCTGCCACCTGCCTAAGCATTCTGCTGTTTCTACCTAATTACCGAATATCAAGGAAGCTATGTAAAGCTGCTATTAATCTTGCTCAAGCGCCTGGCAACAACGAGATCCATTGGGTATTACATTGTTCCTCTGGACGTTCGCATGATCTCACCCGGACGATATCGACGGCAACCAGGCGGCACGCGTTAGCGCGATTTGAAAAATGCTAAATAAAATAGAATTTCAATATTCGAATTTCGTACCAAAACGTTTATAACTTCGTGTAAAGTTTCATTCGTAGATCATGTATCTACACGAATTTGCCAAAAAATATGAAACAGTTTATAGATTTGCGAACGAACGCAGAAAGTTTCTCCGTCGCAAACATCCGACAGCGAAGCGCCTGTGTCGCTCGTGGGAGGCGCATCTGCATTCATCTCGCGAATTCGGCGGACCCGTAACAATTTTCATTAAACGACCTCAATAGACAAGTTATATAGCTGAATGCAGCGTTCATCAAGGCAACGGAGGCCGCCGGCGTGTAGGCGGGACGCGCGCGTGTCTCGCCGGGGAGGTAACAGGAAACGGCGGCGACATTATACAGTCGAGTCCCTCGACGCTGAAT